ACCAGGTAGAAAACCCAAAAAAGTAAAGTTTTTCTCTCTTCATCTGAAAAGAAACAGCAAAGAAAAGCTGAGAAGACGAGATGTGAGCAGGAGAGTCGTTGCAGAGGAGGAGATCAAGAGGTGGAGAACGTTGAAGCAAGAGCTGGAGCTAAGATCAGTTTCAAATGAGCTTTTAACATCTATTATGACTTTAGGAGCTCATTGAGGAAAAAATACATGTCTTGTCCTTTATGCAAGATGTGTATGTGTATGTATGTTCTTTCTTTACACGTCTCTCTTGTAAATGAGTCCTCCAGGCTCAATAAGACTAACCTGTAGAAATGAAGGTTGAATTGAATATGCTCCACAGGATGCCCTTCTGCTGTTTTCAAAGTAAATGCTTGTCTCCCTTCATGGAGAGAAGAGGGGATTTGGAAATAACCCCCAGCTGTGCCTCAGACTGTCAGGTGTGTGACTTTGAGAACTTGAAATGTAAGAATAACAAAAAAAAATCACAATTTGGATTGTGACATCAAAATCCAAGATGTCCACCATCATATATGTAAAACAGCCTATCCAAACATTTGAGGAAACAATGCTTTCTAGTTATATATTGCTTAAAAGTATGAAATATGAAAAGTATAAAGTATGATTGATTCATGGATTGACTGTGGTAGGTGGTGGGGTCGCAGATGATTATTTTATGATGGCCAAGGCCACCACTTGCCACCCCCTGGCTCCGTCATTGCACTGGTGGTGGATAAAAGTGCTCCCTCTTCACCAGGATCCATCGCTCTGCACTGGCTCAGTCAAGCAAAAACAACACCCACCTCTCTTCTTCTCCAGTGTAACTACTACTCACTCAAATATCTTGCACCACAAACATTAAGGTTCACTTCCGTTCCCTGTTCAATCCCAGTCCAGAAAAACAAACTACAAACATTCACTATTCAAATCCCTCGGTGACGGAGGACATCAGCGCATCGCCTGTTAATGAGACTTACCTTTTACTTAAGCAGACTTGTACACAAATAAACAAATAACTTTACTTGTATTGAGTAAAACTTCAACAGAGCAGCGGTACTTTTACTTGAGTACAATATTTTAGTACTCCTCCCACCTCAGCTGATCATGTGAACAGAAAAAGAGTTTTATTCTCAGTACATTCTTAAAGAAGATTTCAACTAAATGTTGGAGCAGTAAATGTTTCCCGTTTCTCTTTGCAGAAACGGGAAACATTTACTACACATAAAGTACTTTACATATAGAAGATATATTTACATTTCTTTCTTTCATGAGAACTAGTATGGACTGTCAGGATGGTTGAATCAGGTGGAAAACATGTTGTTTTATGTAATGAGTTTAATTATAAAGAACAATCCAACATTTTTCAGTCAGGTCATCTGGACAGTTTTTTTTTTGTGCTGAAACATTTCGCCTTCAATCCAGAAGGCTTCATCAGTCAAGGAAACACACAGCAAAACTGATTCTTCTCCCAACAGCTTACTTCAAAGTGGAACAAACCAGTTCTGCTTGTGATAAGATGGTCTCTTTGGTATGCCCCCCTTCTATTGCCGGCCCTCTTCCTTGTTGACAGTCTTGTCAAACTGGTTGAAAACAACAAAGTCCATGCTCAATAATCCAGGTATACAATCCAACATTTTTCAGTCAGGTCATCTGGACAGTTTCTTTTTTTTGTGCTGAAACGTTTCACCTTCAATCCGGAAGGCTTCATCAGTCAAGGAAAAAGGTTTGTTCCACTTTGGAGTAAGCTGTTTGAGGAATAATCAGTTTTGTTGCATGTTTCCTTGACTGATGAAGCCTTCTGGATCAAAGGCGAAACGTTTCAGCACAAAAAAAGAAATTGTCCAGATGACCTGACTGAAAAATGTTGGATTGTATACCTGGATTATTGAGCATGGACATTTTTGTTGTATAAAGAACAATGTGTTACACCTGTAGGTCATCTTCAGTAACTCTGTTGTAAATAATCCCCCGCCCAGTCTGCAGTCAGGTTTTTGGTTCTTTGTTGTCTCTGCAGCTGTAGACTACACATTCTGTTCTCCGGTGATCCATGAAACCTACTGAACACCACCCACACAGATGTCTACACACACTACCTACCACCAGTGCTTCAATTCAGAAGCCGCTTATTAATCACTGGTTTTACTAAATTACTGTATTTTACGGCATATAAGTTAGGTTTTTTTTGCATAGATGTGTCATTCCTGCGACTTATACACCAAAGTGACTTATATACAGTTTTTTTTTCCATATCCATAACGCAGTTTTTGACTGATGCTTTAAATGTTCATTCATTGACATGAACCAGAGTAAACATTATCGTTTGCAGCCGCTAGATGTGCAAGAGAGCACAATAGGTTTCTGACTACTACTGGTAGGCGTATATGTTGTTCCTGCACCACTACCCCCACCGCCCCCCTGCCAAACATTGACCGTTAAAGTGTATAAATTAAGGAAAAGTTTAACTGAGACACACCTTTTCTATAATTTCGAGCAATCAAATAATTGTTTTTGTGTGTTAATCTTGTTAAATTTTGAAGAACTGCAACAGCAAGTCCTCTCGTGCATGCTCCCACGGCCACCAATCGATTTTTGGCACGACACCGGCCCACATTTCACGGGCATCAGCCGTGATAATAAGTGCAACTTATACGTCAAAGTGACTTATAAATGTTTTTTTCCTCTTCATGATGCTTTTTTTTTTTTTTTGACTGATGCGACTTATATGCTGGAAAATACAGTATATTAAATAAAACATTTGTTCAAAAATAACAGTTGCTCTGTGCAGCTTCAGCTAGAGGGTTCTTTACTGGATCTTTATTTGGGATATTTATTAGATATTACTGGGATAGTTCAAATTTACTTTGAGATTCAGTAAAATCTGATCATTGTTCATGATATTTTGACAAGAGCCAGACAAAAACATCCACACATGCACAATTACATGATTGCTCGCCTTTAATAGTGACAGACCATAACGATATTGATCTTCAGTTCTTTACCATGCACACAATGAAAATGTACAGTGACCATGCCGAGTTCTTTCATTTTAAAATGAACATGTTTTGTGTCCCATTTCCTAAAAAGTAGTTTTCTGGAGACAAGACAGTTCTGCCTGTGACGGATCTCTCCTCAAAGAAAGTACTGAGTTCAGCTTGAGTGAGAAGAACCGACTTGTTTTCTGTACTTCAGCGTTCTTTGTAAATGAAGGTGTCTGTAGTTTTTAAGTGAGAACTCCATTAAGTCAGGCCTGTCACTCAGATATATGTGCTATAAAATCCTTTGAACTGACCTTTAACCCACCTGAAGGACATCACAGGACACCTGCTGGACCCCCTGTAATGTTCCCACTGGGTTGGTAGTTCCGTGGACAATGCTGTGAACATGGGACTGTATTACATCCTGAAACACCTCCAGAGTTGCGTAAGGATCCTGTTTGTGGACTTTAGTTTGATGTCACTACCATCTACTAGTGGATCACCTGCTTCCTGACAAACAGGAGACAGCAGTTGCAGATAGGAAAGGTCTCTTCTGATACAGGTACCATCTGCACTGGTGCCCCCCAGGGCTGTGTCCTCGATTCACTACTTTTTCCCCAATGTTCCCCAATTTACATCTCATCACACCCAGCTGGTGAACTGAAGTTTGCAGTTTACAATAAAAATGCTGACGTGTCTACATACCGAAGAACGGCTGAGACTAATGAGACAACAGTGGACCTCAGACCACTGCCAAAACAGCAACACCTCACCCCATCTGGCTGGCCTGTACAGACCTTCAAGTTCTCTGGAACCACTGTTTTCCAAGACTTTCCTCAAAAAGGTCCAGCAGAGGAAGTATCCTGCAACAACTAAGGAAGTTTGGTCTGCCACAGGAGCTGTGATCCAGATCTACACAGTAATGGGTGAAGCAGTCCTGTGTTTTTTTTTCTTCAATGTGGTTTGGAGCAGCCACCAAACACGGCAGGAGTTGACTGTAATGAGCTGTATGAACAGCATAAACATTCATCGGTGCTCTCATCCTTCCTCTGGGACTTGTTCATCTAGAGTATCAGGAAACGGGCAGGAAATATGACCTCTGACCCCTCACGTCCTGGACACAATTTTTATAAACTCTTCTCTTCTAGCAGGAAACATAAAAGTGAGCAAAACTATCTGCCACAAGAACAGTTTCTCTCCTCGGGCCATCTCCCTGAAGGACTGAGCTGTAACAGTTTGAATCAGCTTCTGGTGCCAATTACACACTTGGCTAATAATAAGTCAGAATCTGATTTATAAATTTAACACTCATTAAGGTTTCTTCTGAACTGCCAACAAACCTTTGTCAAGAAAAACTGTGCAGAAAGTCAGAATGTGTTCATGCTGCTCTACAAATTAGAATAAAACTGGAAATGACCTTTCCAAAGGCCTCTGCTGCCATCTGGTGGTGAAAACATCAAACTGCCGATCTCACGAAATGAACAAAGACATTACATATAAAAACAAAATTTATTAGCAATCACAGGGAAAGAATGCATGACATTTATAGAAGCAATTGAATAAAAATGCTAACGTCTTATTTACAGTCAGCAACTGAATGTGAACAAGCCCTGCACGTGCACGTATAAACTGCAAAGAAGCTTCTTATCCCACAGCTTTCTGCAAAGTGACACACGCCATGTGAACAGCCCCTCACTGCTGCGGTCCCAACAATCCAGAACTACAATTAGGATGGTCCTCTTCAGACAGACCTGTTGGTAAACAGTGTGAGCGTGACGACATGCAGGGTGTGACTCAACCCACTCCAGAGACTCGCACAAACAGAACAAATACTGATTGAACTGCATCCACCACCAGACAAGCAGACAGTGGCTAAACCTTAGAAATCATAATCTGATCAATACAAAGAAACACCACGTTCTTGAAAAAGTCGCATACAGACATCCAGTTGTTACAAAAGCTCATGTGGATTTGGACAGTGTGAAAAGATGAACCACATCCATCTTCAAAGTCCTCCGCTCTGTGTGAGCTCAGTCTTCATGACTAACACTGGCTTTCCATCATCCAAACAAATAAAACATGTTTCGAGACAGACACCTGGGGGTGTTCAGGCTCCTAATGTTAAAAAAAAAAAATCCCTAAACAACCTGAGATGCAACAATTAAAACCATATTTCATAAAGTACAGAGAAGACTTCAACAGCATTCAATTTACCAACAATGTAACATTTTCTCACGTGTTTATACTTCACTCTTCCCCTTCAGTACCGTCCTGTTTTACACACTGAAATGAGTTTACATGATTATGAAACATAAAAGAGATTGTCGAGTAGTGGCATTAAGTGTAATGAAGGGATCTACGCAGCGTCTGTTCTGAGTCTTTATGTGTAATCGTGGGTTAATAACTTCATTGGGTAATAACTGTCTGATTGGGACTCTCTCAGTCAAAGGCACTTAGAATTTGTTTGGGGAATTTTCGCCTCGAGACACATCAGCCACTCAAAACTCGTACTTTCTACTAAAATCTTAAGTTTTGTGTAAACTTGTCACTTGAGACACTTCCACGCGCCAACAGAGATCATTATGCATTAACAAAAGAAACTAGTTTGCAAATACCTGCTCAAAGCTAGAATAAACCTTGTTCAAGTGAGCGCTGAATGTTGGACAGGAAATGAAGCAGATGTTTGATGGTGGGGGCAGAGGAGCTCCAGCCTCATGTCAGGAAACAGCAAACTGAACAATTAGAGTTCTGGAAGGTGTAAAAAACAAACGTGTACACAAACACAGCATGTCCAGAGCAAGTAGTGATAAGGCCTGACGCGTGTGAACCATCACTAGCACAGTAGTGCGACTTCAGATGGGTGGGGTGACGGTAGTGCTGCACATGAGGGGAGTGGGGGGTTACACATCTACAGTAGTGTACAGGGTGAAGCAGGTGGTGGTGGTGAGCAGAGAGCTGGATTACTTCAGAGGCAGTGCGAGGGATGACTGTCGAGGACCCGTGACCAGAGGGGAGGAGGGGGCTGAGGCCAGAGGATCGACTGGGCGGAGGGGACAGGCATCTTCAACTTCAGCTTCTCCGCGACTTTGAGTGCTGTATGAGCCACTGCAGGGTGATATCTGCAGGTGGGGGAGGGAAACAATGAGACAGAAATATTTCAACATATTAATAATAATAACTAGAGACATTGCATTTCCTCTGAAAATGCAGAGTGAATGCTAAATGCTAAAAGCTGCCGAAGAAGCTGAAACCAGCTGAAAAGGTTTTGTTGCTGAACTGTTGATTTGAGTTGAATTTGAACAGCTGACATGAAAGCAGGAAAATAAAATCAGAAAACGTCAGGATTGTGCAGAAAAAGATGAACAGAGCAGAAATTATGCAGAAATGAGCAGAATAAGCAGAACCAGGCAGGGAGGCTGAATACATTACAACAAAATGTGAAATTAAAGCAGAAACGAGCAGAGAAAGCGCTGAACGGAACATAAACAGCTCAAACTACGGTGCCTTGTGAAAGTATTCAGCCCCCTTGAACTTTTCAACCTTTTGACACATTTCAGGCTTCAAACATAAAGATATAACATTTTAATTTTTTGTGAAGAATCAACAACAAGTGGGACACAATCGTGAAGTGGAATGAAATTTATTGGATGTGTCAAACTTTTTTAACAAATAAAAAACTGTAAAGTGGGGCGTGCAATATTATTCGGCCCCCTTGCGTTAATACTTTGTAGCGCCGCCTTTTGCTGCAGTTCCAGCTGCAAGTCTCTTGGGGTTTGTCTCTATCAGTTTTGCACATGGAGAGACGGAAATTCTTGCCCATTCTTCCTTGTTGACAGTCTTGTCAAACTGGTTGAAAACAACAAAGTCCAAGCTGGAGTTTCTTAGAAACTGTCCAGATGACCTGACTGAAAAATGTTGGATTTTATACCTGGATTATTGAGCATGGACTTTGTTGTTTTCAACCAGTTTGACACGACTGTCAACAAGGAAGAGGGCCGGCAACGGAGGAGGGGCGTACCAAATAGACCATCTTATCACAAGCAGAACTGGTTTGTTCCACTTTGGAGTAAGTTGTTGGGGGAAGAATCAGTTTTGTTGTGTTTTCTTGACTGATGAAGCCTTCCAGACCGAAGGCGAAACATTTTAGCACAAAAAAAAAAAGAAACTGTCCTGATGACCTGATTGAAAAATGTTGGATTGTATATCTGGATTATTGAGCATGGACTTTGTTGTTTATATCTTTATGTTTTGAAACCTGAAATGTGGCAAAAGGTTGAAAAGTTCAAGGGGGCCGAATACTTTCGCAAGGCACTGTATTTGAAAGACGCAGAAAAGGTGGAAATTAGCAATAAGACTTGCATAAAAAAGGCTATAATTAGCTGAAGAATAACCACAAAGTAGCTGAAAAAATCTTCAAATAGCAGAAAGAAGCTGAAAGCAGAAGCAAAATAGCTAGAAAAAAGCTAAAAAGAAGCCAAAGGAAGCTGAAATTAGCAAAAAGAAGTTGAAAAAGCTGAACAAATGCTGAAATGAGCATGAAAAGGTTTTAAGCAGCACAAAGGACTTGAAGGATGTGAAGAGAGCTCACTATTTTCAATGAGAAAAGGACAAAAAAAACTAAATAATTCAACAAGCACAAACTGCTGAAATACCAAACGTCGTAGCAGGAATGTCTTGAACGAGCTGAACGTTTTGAGACATGAATTGTTAAACTAGCAGAATGAGTTATGTTCCCAATGTGCTCAATGATACTAAAATATTACCATTAATATGTGTACAGTACAAAGTAAAATCTCAGAAAGGTAATCTTTCAATCAACGGATCATTGTTCTAATTCCGAGTTTTTCCTGTCTGGAAAAAGTGAAAGTCATTTTCCAGGTTTTCCTGTTTTGCTGGAAACCCCGTCAGTGGTTTGTTTCTCCATCGTTCTATTTCACCTTTTAGTTCAGTGGTCATGATTTCTTTTCGGTGAATAACATTTGCAGCAAGTTTTTTTTTTCTTTCTAATTTATTGTATAATTAAGTAGAAGCAGACAGTGGCTATCTATTCACAACACTGTTTAAATTGAAGACTTTTACAGAGACTTCCTCATAACTGAAGATAATCTTAGGATTAGCTGTTCTATCTTGAGTCTCCATCGTCTGATATTTACCAATGTTGTCCTTCTCTTTGCAGGAGACAGAGTAGCAGCAGATCTCTCTGTCCTGGATGGCAGACAGGTTCCTACAAAAGGTCAAGATGGTAAATAATGATTACAGACACACCACTCATTATTATTCTGTCAGGGACCACTGCTTCTCTTTTAATCAAAATAAGGTTTAATACACACAAGCACTAAATAAAATCAAACATTTCTTACATTTTCTCAATAAGTTGCTTTTCATCAAGTGAGTTGGATAAGTCGCGTTTGTTCCCAAGAACAAGAACCTGAAAAAATAAGGGCAAAAATCAATTTACTGATCAATTGTTAATGCAGAAAAGAATCAGTGTTATCACATTTTAATTGGCCACAGTAAGTCCAGTCAGGACAAGATGCACAGCCTGAGGGGAGTGATGAGACACAATCACAAACAGCCTCAAAATAATGACCTCAATGTAATAAAGCTAAACTTAAATTGCTCAGATTAAAAAAATGAACACACAGTAAAACGTCATCCCTCCTGAATCACAAAGACTAATGTGCTGCAGTCGTTACCAATTCTGAATGAGTCACTGTTTGTGATTGAAGTCACTTGATCCACAAACATAAGTCCAAGATCAAACCAGAAACATGAAGAGCTGTTCTGAAGGTCACAAAGAGCCTCTTACAGGAATCCCTTGTAGCTGTGGTTTTTCTAAAAGGTTGTGCAGTTCGTTTGTGGAAGCCTCGATTTTCTCTCTGTCAGCTGCATCCACCATATAACTGCAACAAAAAGTAATTAATTCATTAATCTGTTCGGGATCGACCAAATGGCAAACACACCAGGACATAAAATGATTACCGTAACTTCTGGACTGTTGAGTGCGCCTGAACATAAGCCACGCCCACTAAATTTTAAAAAGAAAATGCACTTGTCTGTAAGCCATGGGTGTCCATGTTGTAACATGAGATGTTTACACAAAGATTTTTTTTTTTACTTTTAATTAAATACGTACTGGTAACATACACAAATACGTGCAATAAATGTTATTTTCTGATCAGTGTCTGTAACACAGATGGTAAACAAATAAAAAAATACAGTAGCCTACCAGGAAGTCATTAACATAAAATAAGATCACTTTGACCACCATTGATCACTATCTTCATCTTCCTCCTGCACATTGCACCTTTGAGCTTGTGCCGTCCTCTTCACCACGCAGCTGCCTTTCTAAACCCGTTGGTGATGGAGGATTGTTTTACACTGCTCCTCTGTCGGGATCCACTGGCAGACTTGAGCAAAAGCTGCTCTTCGCATGCCGTCAGTTTTAGTAAACAATTTCTCACGGCCAGTCATCCAAGCCTCCCACTGAGCTCGGAGTGCCACATTAATGCACAATTCACATTTCGAGTGGCTCTAAATACTTCAATGTGCCCCCCTGAGCTGCTATGCGAGTGCCTGGGTGAGAAGAGGATAATTGCTTTGGCGGCATGAAGCTCGTTAGCTCCCACCCCCCCACAAAAAATAATAATAAATTAGCTCCAGCATTGTATAAGCCACAGTGTGTTCAAAGCACGTGAAAAAAGCAGCGGCTTATAGTCCGGAAATTACGGTAACCAATTAATGATCAACTGTTACGAAACCTTTTCACGTGCTCAACAAAAAGTCGAACTTACACAATAGCATTGACTCCTCTGCAGTAGCGCTCCCACATGCTTCTGAAGCGAGGCTGTCCACCTATGTCCCAAATCTGGACAACAAAGACACAGTCAGGGATAAAACATGTAATACAAACAGGTTGTTGCACTAAAGCTGCACTAGAATGTGAAATATGATCAAAAATAACTCCAGCAGAGCAATTATAAGTAACTTTTGTTATCAGTTTACCTTTATTGTCACATTGCCTTTAGTGACCTTCCGCATGTTGAAGCCGACTGTGGGAATCATGTCATCACTGAACTGTCCCGACTGCACGAGGCGGATAAAAAAAGAACAGAAGGCAACGCATTAATGGATGCTGCATCCTGCATTGCTCAAGGCTGTTTTCATCTGATTGGAAGGCCTCACGTGGATGTGAATCATCTTTCTCTGTGCAAGACTAAATTAAGAAATGATTTGATCATGGAGAATTATTTTCCCCATGATGGATTAGAAACTGTTTAACCCCTTGAATCACGATGAGACGATTATTGTGTCATCACAAAAGATTCAATTGTAGATGTACATCTAATGATTACTTTAAGTTTCATTACAATTCTTCCAGCGTCCTGATGCATGCTCAATAATCCAGGTAGGTAAATATTGAGTCAGGTCCTCAGGATGGATTCTACAGAAAATAATCCATCCAGAGGACCTGACTTAACCTTGTTAGAATTCTTCCAGTGGTTCATGAAACATTTTGCTAACATACAAATACAAACTACAGACAAAAACAATACTATTGACTGTATTTTCCTTTCATTGACAAGTGACATTTAAAAAGCCAGCAGTGCAGTAAACTACACAAGCTAACAAGCCAAAACAGGACCTTCACACATCTGCAGCCCTCCTTAGCTCTTTGCTTTCTATGGAGGCCCATTATTTTGTCTCCTTCAGCTCATCAAATGTAGCTTAAACAGAGGTGAGTAACTCAGGTGACTGAAGGCATCCTCAAACCTCAGGAAAATGAAATGTAGCCCGACAAGTTCTGATGCTTCTGGTTGTTTATGAACAAACAGAAAGCTCCTGAAAGCTTTAGTTTAGGTTGGTGTGTACATTGAGGGTTAAACCAGTTATTCTGTTGGTTATACTGGCCAAAGCTACATAGTTTGGGTTTGGTTTGTGGATTTCATAACAAGAAGTGAACACTAGCTCTTCTAAAGACAAGTTTTTGTTCGCTTGTCTTATCAAATTAAGAATCTAATGAGGAACTACTAAATATTTGAAAAAATAAAAGTATTAAATATTCTGATAGTACTAAGAAAAAAGTATCGTGATGCATGCTCAATATTCCAGGTAGAAAAATTTAAAAAAGTTCAATCTAAAAACAACATTGTTTTGTTTTTTGAATGTCCAGAGGACCAGATTTAACTTTTTTAGCTACTAAGAAAAAGGTTAAAAATGTCATACAGTGCTGCGTGTCTAATATATTACAGGTCAGAGAGTTTGAACGCATTTAGATTTTATAATCGTGGATATAACTGCATGTTTCATGTAAAACCAATAATACATTCAGTCTGCAGATAGAAATATTGCACATGGTGTCACACGTATGCGTTCAGGCTAAATGTTAAAACTTTATGCATAAACTGTGTGTTATAAATATGTTCATAATGCACATTAAAGAGGATCTCTTAAAGGCTTTTGTAAAAATGTTGTGACTCATATTTGGCCTGGGCCCAAACCAGAACAACCCATCAGAGACTGAGGAAGTGAAAAGGTAGGGTGGGTCAGAACCAACAACAAGTTGACAGAAATGGCTTATCTTAAAAAGCAAACAATAAAAACCTATAGCCTACAATAACAACACGGCCACTTCTTCAGAGTAGAAAGTGTCCAGCAGGTTTAACCATTCCTCTATACCCTCACTGGATTGCTCAATAGGTCCAAGACAGATCTAGGTTTTTATAAACAGCTGTTACATGTAAACTAACCAGAACCAGAACAGAGCCTGAAAACACTGAACCACAGCTCCACCGTCGACAGCTTGTCACAGCAGATACTTTCTGCCAGATAAGAGGAAGCTGTTTTGAAAGTAAAGCTGAGCTCCGTGTTGTTGATGTTGACACACCAGGAGTTAAACACGTCTGCTCACATGACAGCCCGACACAAGCTCGTCATTCCACAGGCTAGCTAAACAAACTGTTAGCAACCACCGCAGAAACTTTTATTTTTCTCATCCCCCCACCAGAGACTAACCAGTTATTATTTCCACCCAGCACCTAAACTACATTGTAACACAGAATGCTTCCTCCACAACCTCTCCTCCTCCCAAGCAGGTACTAACTCCAGCTGGGCCCTCTTGGCTAACGTTAGCTACTTACTGCAATTACGTTGACAAATGTGGTTTTTCCCGAATACTGAAGACCCACTAATGTGAGCTCCATCTCTTCTTTCCAAAAGAGCGACCTGAACCAGTCTAAGAGTCTGTTTATGAGGGCCAGCATCTTGAGTATCGGAGTAGCTGGTATCCCTAAAGCCGTCTGTCTGAACTCAGGAAGCCTCTGGCTGCTGTGTCATGTCGTCATGTGATGTGAGCCGCTGACCGATGGCCACGCCCCCTCTTCTTCTTCTACGGTTTTGGGACCAAATGAGCTCCACTACACTTTTTCCAATTTTTATAATTAAAAGCGTCAAAGTATTTAACTGGGATTTTATGTGATGGACAATGTAGCACATGTGAAGTGGAAAGAAAACGTCATGGTTTTATTTTTTTTATTTTTATTTTTGCAAATAAAAATCTGTAAAGTGTGGCATGCAGAGGAATCAATAACCACCTTTTACTGATTCATTACCACTTGTTTTCAAAAACACTTCTTTGCTGAACAGCTCAAGCTCAGTCAGATGGGACAGAAAGCAGCTGTGAACAGCAAATGTCAAATCTTGATACAGATTCTCATTTGGATTTATGGCTGGACATTGAAAGGATTGAAAGGGTATTCTAACTCATGACTTTGCTTCAGTGTAAACCATTCCAGATCAGACTGGATGCTGTCCCCCATCCGAATCTCAAGTCTTGTGCAGCCTCTTTTCTTACATGACTGACCTGGATTTTTTTTCCTCATCTTCCCATCACATTCAGGGTCAGTGTTGTTGTTTTTTTTTTTTTTAACCACACGTGCTCTCTTTGCCTAGACTGTCGTTTGCTGGACGTCCATGTCTTGTTATGTTCGCAGTAGCACTGCTGGATTGAACAGTCCTTTGAGAGCTGTTCAAAGCGTGCAGGATCTTGTTTCATAATCTAACCCTAACCATCTCAAAAACCCTTCCCCTGAATTATCTGGTGTGTTCCTTGGTCTTCATGATGCTGTTTGATCACTGATGTTCTGTAACAAACATCTGAGGCCTCCCCAGAACAGCTGGGGATTAAAGGTGGACTCTAACTAATTAGTCGACGCCTGAAGACAAATGGTAGAAATTCAGTTTGAGATATCACAGTAGAGGACTGAGTACAAATGAATTCTACATTTCAGGCTTTATTTGTAAAAGCCGTGAAAACCATGTATCACTTTTATTTCCATTTTACAATAATGTGGCAAACTGTGATGATGTACTTGTGTTGTAAGGACACAGTATACACAGCAGTTCTGACTGATTTTAGATCTTATTGTAAAGAAACTATAAAAAAACTTTATTTGATCTTTAGCTAAATCACACTTCATTGCTGCTTTTCAGTGTTTTGCTCCATCCATCCATCCATTATCTTTACCCACTTATTCCATTTTGGGTCACGGGGGTCGCCGGTGCCCATGTCCAGCAATCACTGTGCGAGGGGCGGGGTACACTCTGAATGGGTCGCAAGTCCATCACAGGGACACATAGAGACAAACGAGACAAACAACAATTCACTCTTTCACTCACACCTAGAGACAATTTAGAGTTACCAATCAGTCTAACATGCATGTTTTTGGTTTGTGGGAGGAAACTGGAGTACCCGGAGAAAACCCACGCATGCACGGAGAGAACATGCAAACTCCACCCAGAAAGGCCCCTGGACCAGGGTTTGAACCAGGGACCTGCTTGCTGAGAGGCAGCAGCTCTACCAGTTGTGCCACTGTGCTGCCCTTGTGTTTTGCTCTGTCCTTCTAAATCATGATTTTTAAAAACATGTGTGCATTTAATAAAACATCTAAAAAGATAAATGTTTTAAAAACTTACTCTGATTTTCCAAGTCAAATTTGTGTTTAAAGATTTTGGAGTGATTTTCTCTTTCCATGACATGAACACACCAAAAAATATAAAAAAAAAATCACTGTAATGCCACTTGATTGTTGATATGTACTGATGACTATCCATGCTGCTGATCTCATGCTGTTGATTTATTTCATGTTGCTGTGCCTGTGTTCATTCACTCATCTGCTCACACAGGCTCATGTTCGTGCTGCTGTTTGGTGTATTGTTTCATACTACTGGTGCTTAGTGTATTCTTAGTTTAGCGTATTTCTTAGCTCATATCTTAGATCTTATTACTGTTTTTCTTAACAATTTATACTTTTGTTGGATGTAACTGGGACCGTGTACACAATTTTGTTCCACCACATGTACCACATGTGATGTGAATGAAAATAAACTTGACATGACATTCTTGTTGAAGTTGTACCCCCCCGACCACACACACACACACACGCACACACACACACACACACACACACACACACACACACACACACACACACATACACACATCCTGCTAAAGAAGCACAGACTGTCGTTTCTGAATGAACTGTTAATTTTTCATACAAATCCACAATTTTAAATATTGGTCAAATTAAATGATCACAAAATTGTGTCTCCTGAGCAAGTTTTGTAGACAAGTCGTGATATCACATGTAACACTGCCTGTCTGTCCATCATGAAACTGATGCAGATTATTTAAAAAATGACAAAAAGTTTGTTGAATGAATGGTTGTCTGATCAATCAATCTGCTTCTAACACAAACCTCACCGTTTTTCACAATTTGTGCTGTTCACAGTCACAAAGCTGTAGAAGGAATCACACAGAAATAAGAAGCAGAAAAGTGAGTTTAATCTGGATGGCAGTTCTTTTATTTGTTACAGAACTCTACAAGCAGAGTAAACTTCAGATGTGACATTAGTGCAGTTCATTTCTTCTGCCCACAGTTTTCTTAACAACATCAGGTCTGTCCACAATAAGAAACAAACTGTTAAAGTGTTTTAAAACTACTTTCTCTTACGGCGTTACACCTCAGTACTGTTTATTATATGTGGAGCAATATTATAGGCAGAAACATGGGTGTGCTATGGGGTCTCCAGTTTCTCCTATTGTTGCCAACCTGTACATGGAGGAGGTAGAAAAGAGAGCCTTGACGTCCTTTTAAGGGACACCACCAAGTCATTGGTTCAGGTATGTTGACGACACCTGGGTTAAAATCAAATCTCAGGAAGTCCAACATTTTACTGACCACATCAACTCTGTGGATAAATACATCAAGTTCACACGTGAAGATGTAAAAAATGGCAGGTTGGCTTTCTTGGACTGTGAGGTCTCAGTCTCTGATAAAGGACATTTGCAAACTGAGGTGTACCGCAAACCCACCTACACAGACCAGTATTTGCAGTTTGACTCCCATCACCCTTTGGAGCACAAGTTAGGAGTCATCAGGACTCTGTATCACAGAGCAGACAGCATCCCCACTAACTCAGGAGCCAGGCAGAAGGAGAAATCCCACACAAGACAGGCTCTAGAGCAATGTGGATATCCTAACTGGGCCTTCCTGAAACAGAAAAGAAACCCATGCTCCAGTCAGCCATCAGGTGAAAAGGAGGAACCCAGACCCAGACCAGTGGTCATTCCATATGTTGAGGGAGTATCAGAGAAACTGAGACGTTTATTTTCTAAACATAACGTCCCAGTGGCTTTTAAACCCCAAAATACATTACGGCAAAGACTGGTTCATCCCAAAGATCCAGTCCCCCGGCAGAAACAGAGCAATGTTGTGTATGCTGTTCAGTGTCAGGAGGGCTGTGATCAGTCTTACATCGGGGAAACTAAACAGCCACTGGCCAAAAGGATGGCCCAGCACAGAAGATCAACATCATCAGGCCAGGATTCTGCGGTCTACACTCATCTCCAGGCCAGCGGTCACTCTTTCAGGGATGAAGATGTTCACATCCTGGACAGAGAGGAACGATGGTTTGAGAGAGGAGTAAAGGAGGCCATCTTTGTGAAAAGAAATCGTCCATCGTTAAACAGGGGTGGAGGCCTCCGGGTTCAACTGTCCCCCTCTTACAATGCTGTGATTGCTAGTATCACTCAGCCCTCTGTGAGTAGTAAACAGCCATCAGTGTGCTAATGATCCATTGTTAGGCTGATGGTTCTTCTTGAGCATGTGATCAGCTGGTTTTGGTTGTCAGCAGCAAACTGGTTGATCCACTCAGAGAAGGTGCTATTTAAGAGACTGGGCTGAATACAGCACCTCAGACTGAGGAAGTCTCTCGGATGAGAGACGAAACGTTTCTAAATTTTTTGTTGATTTGCTTTGTTTTGTTTTTTTGAATGTCCAGAGGACCAGATTTAACTTTTTTAGATCAGTACTGTTTTGTTTTATTAAACTTAGGGTTAAAATAATAAGCATTTAGTTGAACTAAGAAAACCCAACTGAGTTTGGTTATTTTTAAGATGTGACCCAATTTTCAGTTTTTTACCAAAGCTTACAAAATGTACAATTATTAATCCCAAAACTATTGCAGACATTTCATTTTCAACATTCACCTGCCGCCTCAATAAGCCTAAATAATTTACTTTTTCTAAGAAGCATTCAGGTCTCCCTGGTAAATGAGTCTGCGAGGCTCAATGGGATTAACCTGTATAAATAAAGGTTGAATGAATTCCAACATGTCTGGAAGTATTGCACATATCGAAACATGCATGACCCTTTGGTTCATTTAACTCTCGGTAAAATTGTTCCATGTGATTGCAGGGTGCTTCGTGTGATTCTGTTGAAAAAATATGAAGGGATATTTCAGTGTAGATACAGAATAAATACAGGGTGGTGACATTCCAACATGTTTGGATCCATGTTGCATTATAAGTGCTCTTCAGTCAAATAACATGTTGGATTTTTTTTTGTCCCACTGTACCACAACAATCCATTGTTTATCTGCATAAATTCAACATTTAACCCTCATATTTGCAGAATAAAAAATAAAAAAAATAAAAACTTGCAGCACATTGTTGGAAATAAAACTAGAATCCACTTCTTGTTTCTGATTTTAAAATATCTAAATAGCTGGTTTTCTGGAACCAGTCAGGGTCAGTAAAATCCCTGTAGGGTGAATAAGCCACATGTATTACTCTCACTGAGAGGTGAGTTTTGGTAACAGCTGCTTGCTCAAACTGGTCTGAGGCAGGGCTAAACAACAACAACAACAAAAAGATGAAGCATTAAGGCTGAATTTCCCATTTAAACACTTGAATCTTTCCCCCAGTCTAAACCAACAACAGTTGTAGGATTAAAATGTAAACTGCAAAAATAATCACAACCACTGCTCTCATTGCAAGCAGTTTCACTGCTCCATAAAGTCGGAGTGAAGTTCTCGTCTACGTGTTGGTGTCATGAAGCTGAGCAGACGTGCAGGAAGAACCTGCAGGACTCCCACTGCTCCATGTCTGATGATTCAGTCAGTGTTGACAGCCCTTAAAGGAGATCAGAAGAAGTGTGTGAGTAACAGTCACACATTTTGTCAGAGGTATTTAAAGTCGTGTCTCAGTACCTTTGCTCTGACAACTGTAGAGTACTTCTCGGGGGAGGCTGCACTCATAACTGTTGTGTAAATGGTCATTCTGGGATGTTTTAAACACACAAAACAATTAACATCATCGGATGTGATGAAAAACATGGAATAAAGACAAAGTGAAGAAGATTACTGTTAGATGTGCGTGGAGTGGATGGAACGTGGCTGAAAGACAGCTGCTGGCCAGTGTTGCCAGATCTCACAATAGAAACAAGCAACCAGCTCTATGGAAACAAGCCCAAAACGAGCCCAACTGGCAACCCACCACATTGTGTAAAACAGAGGCTGTTTTTAAACGGTATAAACATACATTTATTATGGTATTACACATAAACAACAGCAAAATGATGCTAAACAATTTGAATAACATATTTTTAAGCTCTGATTTAAAAAATATATTTTATTTTTTTCTACATATTTTTAAAAACAAATCATCCTGACATCTGTGTGAGTGAAGCCCCCTCGTGGTCGGCCACAGTATGAGTGATTGGGTGTGCGCCTTGTGATGATTACCCAATCTGTTTAGGAACCTGATCCGTAGTGTAGCTCATTTGTGCATGCGCTAAAATAATACTTCCAGGTCGCAAGGATCGCCGTTGAATATGCTACATTAAGTAATATGTACTGGTATAATTCCATTTATGAATAAGAAGTCTTAATTTACTTAGAAAAGTATGCTGTATCTCCACCGATTTTCATGTTGCTAATTTACGCCACTCGTATTTCCGTTAAAATCATTGACATATTTACGTCGTGGTTAAAAATGATATGCAGCTTCACTACTGAGCGGCCTTGTTTCACCATGGAAATAATTAATTCTGTATCTTGCAGGGTTTTTCTCATTCAGCCCAGGCGGAGGTGGGGGGGGGGGGTCAGATCTAATGCATCGCATACCATCTTAACCTATGATTTGTAACGGAAATACGAGTGGAGTAAATTAGCTACATCAAGATCGGTGAAGATTGCGCACATACTTTTCTAAGTAAATTAAGACAGTTTTTATTCATAAACAACAGTGATCCGTGCGACCCGAAAGTACACTACGGATTGTGCTTCTGTAACAGATTGGGGAATGACACGTCTGTCGCCTCGCCAACATGGGCGGGAGCGATAAACAGGAAACGGGGGCGTGGAAGGGACAAACTACCTACTACCACTCGTCTTTTGCTTTATTGTGCGGAGCTAATCAACTAGTTTCACTCGGAAAGTCCAAATAAGCAACTTCATGTTCAAAGCCCAAAAAACCGACTCACAAGATTTGCAAGCGACTTTAGAAAAAACAAGCCGAACGTTGCTTATAATAAGTGGACTTGGCAACTATGGCTGCTACTGATCAATATGCAAATAAGCAAGCTCAAGCATGGAGGACCACAAAGGCCTGCTGCACTTGGACAAAAGGAATTAAAAGAGCTTTTAACACAACTACTCCATGTCAGTAACAGTTTCTGTGCTGGTTTATTGATACACACACAAGGACCACAATATAATAAAGAGATAACGTCCTTCTTACCGATTACACACTGGACTCATCGTCAGAACCTAAAGGACAAGGTTCTGTTATCAATCCAAACACTCACAATCAGTGATTTTCAGGAATGTGCTCAGTTTCTTGTGAACTTGTCCATACTTGCCTGATAAAGTTCATCCATATTGATGTTGGCCTGGCCGGTAGAGTTCAGAGCCTCGTTTGCTACTTCCCTAAAAATAAACAGAACAGTGACCTAGCAGTGGTTTAAAGTTGTAAATGTGTGATGATCATGTGAGAGGATCCACCTTCGATGGTCTGAAGGTGGGGGAGGACGCCAGTGGTCAAAGTTAGTTTCCACTCTGAACCATCTAAAACAGTCAGGAACACACCATTAAATGTTTCTTCAGTTGGGAAATGTTGACACACACAGGTCTCTCCTTACTCTCCGTGGAGCGGATCCAGTGGCCAAATATCCACGGGGCCAGCTTGGTCTCGGGTGATAATGACCCCCTCCCCTGCTCGTACCCCACCCACGATGTAGTACACCCCTGTGATGAGGGGGGTTTTGGACAGACGCATGACTGCATCCTGAAAGTCCTCTGCTTCCTCCAGAGTCTGCAGAAGTTACCCACAATTACTTTCAATTCCTCCAACTTATTCCTGAGTTTGAGAAACGGATCGTAACTATACTGACCTCCCTCAGGAGCCAGCTGACCGGAGATCTGTGGAACAGGAAGGCAGACACAAAATTCTTCCACCAGTTCCACCAGTGCTCAGTTCCTAGTGAAGTGGAAAAATAAAAAAAAAGGAGACAGCGAAAAAAAAAAAATCATAAATGCAATATTTTCTTAACAGCGGTTCTGTTGTTAAAGAGAGGTCTTACCTCGCTGGTCACCGGACACAGTGAACTTATAAGCACTTTGTCCTGTCCACAACCCAACGTAACCAGCAAACGAGGTTCCAAGGTACGCCACCTTAAAGAGTGCACCAGTAAAACAACAGTTATACCTTACTCTACTTCTACTGTGTACAAATATACCGCAGTATGTATTCAGTCAACCCCATCAGGGTGATCCTAAGTGCTCAAACCTTAAATATTTTATAGGGGATATTATATGGAAGCAATTAGGGATATAATCCAGGAACTGGTAGATGAATTTAACCAAGTTAGATTTGACCATCAGCTTAAAGACCGAACGTTCGGCTGATGGTCCTTTTGTATGTGAACAACTAGTTGGGGCTGTCAGCAGCAAACTGGTTGATCCACTACGAGAAGGTGCTGCTTATAAAACTGAGTTTGTTGCAGCTCCTCAAACCGAAGAAGTCTTTGGTATAAAAGACAAAACGTTTTACCAAAGAACCCATCCAGAGGACCTGACTCAACTTTGTTAGATACGAGGCATATTATGCTCAACCCAAGTGTTGGTTACCCAGTTTGTGGGTGAGGTCTTCTGGTGTGTTTTAAAAAGGCAGTAGGGTCCCCTTCAAGCATGTCTCAATGAGACTAATCTGTATAAATAAAGGTTGGATGAATGACAGATCTACTGTGGTTTGTGAGCCTACACAAAACTTCTGTAGTTGGGCTTTGGTGGTTTATCATCATGGTGGCAGCAAATTGGGGTCCTGGGTGAAGTGTGGTAGGAGCAGTGACAGTGTCTTCATGCAGCGACATCTATGTGTTCTGGTGTGGTTTGACCATATTAAATCTGAAGAAGGAACGGTTGAGCTAATCCAATACCTAGACTCTAATCATGATTGTGAGGAGGTCATGGAAACAAGACACCCATAGCTGTATCCTGACAAAGTCTGAGAGGTGGGTGTATAGAGCATGGTGAATGTGCAGAGGAGCATCTCTAAGTTTCAGACATTAGGGGGAAAAACCATGAAGACTACTAAGAGTGTAGCAGCATATTGCCAGTGTTCACACTGAAAGAGGTTTCCACATTTTCTGCACTCCAAACATTTTCTAATTGGTCAAGAATGCCACAAAGAGAGGTCAAATTTGGTCTCTTTGTGGGAAAGGGGGCAGTTTTAATTCAAAAATAACAGTGTCACTATTGTGTCAAGAGGAAGAACTATAAGAAGACCTCCTCTGAACAGATGGTGATTGAAGAAGAGCACAACGCGCAACCTGCCATGCTGACACCATGTCAAAAACTATGAATTGGGCTAAAGTGAATTTAAACTGAAAAAAAAAGACAACTTTAACAGATTTCATCACAAAAATCAGTATTAAATGTATAAATTGTAAAGTAACATACATATAAACTTTTGTACTTGACCACACAAACTAAACCTAAACTTGCTTAATTAACAAACCTCTGTAACTTAACGTCGTTTTGAAAAACAGTTAAAGCCAGATGTACACAAGGATTGTAAAATGATCTGTGAAGGATTTTGAGCTGTAACATGAAACACAGTGTAAATCAGTCATTTGTGAGCAGCTTGCTCTACGGCTTTGATGTTTACTCTACCTTTCCATTTTTGCGAAAAATCAAGTTAACAGTCAGATTCCTCAGAGCGGGATGTGGATAGTCAAGATTTCTGCCATGATACACGTTCCCTGATTTGTCCTGGGCCAGGATGCTCGTACAAAAACTATGGATGCAGACAGACACCTGGCATGACTGAGTGCACTTTAACAGCAGGCTTACATACCTGTACATTTAAACACAGTTTATATGTTGTATAGACAAATGTAAAATCATGCATACGCAGAGATCTCATAGGCAAAGTTGAGAATGATGGTATCAGCGAGGTTTCCTCCAAGGACTGTGGCCATCCCACGGATCTCTCCTGCGTACGGCTGAGGAACGTACCTCTCCAGGGTCTTCACTATTGGTATGATGGCATGATGTACCCACTTTGGAACCGTGGAACTAAAAAAAAATCACGCAGAAAAAACAACACTGGGATCACCGTCAACACGAGTTAGATGGAGGATGAACACAGCACCTCAGAGCTGATCAGTGTTAAACAGGCCTGTGTTGCGTATCAATGCAAAATGTATTTAGTATCATTAATATAAAAAAATTAAAAGACTAGTTATTAACAGACGACATGCAAGCTATTTTTGGTGGTATGCACACAACCCTGTGTGTATCACCTGAACAAATTTGTGTAAAAGCAGCTAATGCATGCTTCCTTTGACTCACAGCGGCTTCACTGCTCTGTCTGTACCTCAGATCAACGGCTTATCATACAGAGATCATACAGCGATCATACAGAGATCATACAGAGGCAGAAAGCAAAACACAATGTTCTCATGAGTGGATGAGAGATTCATGGAGTGTAGAGCAAATACAAACACCTGTCGTCTGTAGGAGCAATTTTCTTTCCTTGAAAATAAGTCCCTGGATTTGGATGTTTGATTCAAACACAGTTGTACAAATAAATACAAGAAAGAGAAGGAAAGAGCACAAAGGCATGTCAGTCAGATGTAGCGGAACATACAAAATGTTCATGCAATTAAGTTTTGGGAACTTTATACATTCCTATTTGTCAATAAATGCACCATTAACAACAGCATAACTGGTTATCACCTTAAAATGAGCCCTTATCAGAAGCAGTTCTTTATCCTCTCAAACCTAAAAAAAAAAAAAAAACACCCAGAATGATCCCACTTCAAAACCCTGGATGTATGGAACAGAAATGTATGGCGATAAACTAGTCTCAAAAGTAGTCACACAAGCGTACAACAAGATTTGTGTGGGTCCAACAAGATCCACAAGCGTACTACAGGATTATAGATGTATGAGTAGTTTTTCAAATATACGCCTTTCAAATTGCACAAGTGGGAAAATCCTGCGTATGTGTTTTACTAAAGAGGGTATGAGTTGGAAACGTGTCTTAGCCCATCAACTCAGTAAAGCTGCTACTGCTCAGACTGTCACCAGCCTTGAACACCTTTGTAAAACAGGAGCAATAAAAACATCTCAAAAGTCTCATTCACAGGTGAGCTGATCTGTGGTTTCGTGTTGACTGGTCCAGCTGCAGCAGGTGTTTTTTCCGCATGTATTTGAAAACTTCTATGAGCAGAATAATCCTACTTGTGCATTTTGAAGTGTATACATTTGAAAACAGTTTGTAAAACTTGTGGTACACTTGTGGGTCTTATTGTGCACATACAAATCTTGTACGCGTGTGTCATTACTTTTGGGACAAATTTAACTCCATAGATTGTAACAGAAATTACGACATGAATGCAACTCTAGTATGAACCAGACTGGCTGGTCACTGACATCTCTCATGCTACATTTCATTTGTCTTGGAGGTCAAATCAATCAACAAAAATAAAGATGGACAAAGCAATCTGTTCATTTTCATTGTCTGTAAGTGAAACCAAAATATGTGGTTTACGGGTGCTGCCATGTTGTATTTTTGGAGCTACAGTCTGCAAACTAAAGCTGTGAGGCTTTATCATCAACAATCAACTAAAGTCAACACATGAAAAAAAATTGTCTGACATGTTTGTTTTATTTTGTAGTAAAGAAAATATCCTGTTAGTTTGAGTGGCAGGACTTAAAACTTGCAGTGCAACCAGCCACCAGGGGGTACTTGCCCTATTTGTCATACTGTCTGCGTACTCATCATCCAGTCCTGTACCTACATTTAATATATGTCGATGATGGTCAGAACGCAGACTTGGGAATAATGTCGCACCTGACTTAATTGTGTTCCAGTTGCACGTCTGAGACCAGCAGGAATTGTTAATTATTTTCTCAGAGACCAGGCTGTTTGCAGTACACGCTGATAACAATGTATTGCTCTGCATTTTATGGATTCATGCATTCATAGACTGTAGCAGCATGTTCACAAGTAAAGATTGAGTAGTACTTCATGTGTGACTGATTTTAGGAAATACAACTGGATGTAAGTGCTAATAAATAATTTATTGCAGCAGATATTACTTTTCATGCATAAGGCAGCCACATTAGTTCTGACAACTTTCAAAGTCAAAATTCTGACGCGTACTTGATTTTTTCCAACTCTGAACTTGAACTTTCTGATTTCAGAGTCCAAATGGAACGTACCGTTGGTGATTGTAGCTGCAGTGTTGAGCAAGCTTGATTTATAATTGCACAAAAAATAAAGATTATCACTTATCTATAATCAAACACAGACAAGCGAAGTGTTGGTATCACGATAATCAAACTGTCAGTCGTATTGTTTTCTATTGTGACCTGTCACACTTTACATGACATGTCTGTTTATGGAACAAGCATTAGAGTATTTTGTGTTCACATACACTCTGCAATAATCTGTGCCTGTGAGGAAGGGATTCAACTGTCTCATTAAAATCAGCTGCAAAGAAAATAGCTAAAAAAAAACAGGCTTTAAAGAAGCTTCAGTACTGAATACCTGGATGAGAACGATATGTACTCTTGAAACTGTGGTTATAAGTACATTTCCCCAAATACTTCAAGTGCAATTTGAAATAAGAAAAGTTTTTCAAGACTTTCCATTTTATTTTACTTTCTAACTTCACATCCTTCTTACTGCTGCACAGGTCTATTAGTATTTATGACTCTGTCACCTCATAAGAAACATCTTGTAACTGTGACTTTCCTTCCCTCCACTGACTACGGTGACATTATTTAAATGAACACCCCTACAAAAACCCAGCAGATGTTGGATGCCGTCTATCATACCATACCATACCATACCAATTTATTTATATAGCACTTAAAACAGCAACAAGGCCAACCAAAGTGCTGTCATGGTGCACTAAGATTCATAACTGGCTGTAACTACCGTACACATCACTGCACCCAGTATTCACTGGTTAACTGGACATCATTAACTTCACACAGACTCTCTCACTGGTTCATTTTCATCTTTAAATCACTTCTTGGTCTGCTGCCTTCATACATCTCCTCCTACATGTCTCTGCGTGAGTGCAGCTACAGCGTGCGCTCTCAGGACATTATTACCTGCAGTGTTCCCTCAGTGAGGACTGAACTTGGCAAAAGGACCTTCTTCTACTCCGCTCCTGTTTCCTGGAATATCTAAAAAGATCTGAAGTTCTCAACCTTGACCTCTCTAAGTGGCTTTAAACATCTGATAAGTTCCTGGAAAAAAACCAATGCAGACATGTTTCTGTTTATAGTTTTCTACACCGCTTTACAATCTAGCTGTTTTAGTTATGTTTTGTAATAATGTTTTCTTTCATTTACTCTTTTCAATTTCTTGATTGTCAGTTGTTGTCATCATTCTTTCTTACAAAATCAGGTCTCTCTTGTAAATGAGTCCACGAGGCTCAGTGAGACTAACCTGTATAAATAAAGGTTGAGTGACTGTTACATTCTGACACTTTCTATAAATAACCTAATATTGTCATGAATTATACATTTGGGTAAACCTCTTTAACTTCCTGCTCAGTTTGGTTTCATGGCTGAGGAGCTGTTTGAATGTGCTTTTTAGAAGAGTGCAATTCAGTTATGACTAAACTGAACAAATACAGTAAAGTAAAGTTGTATACTCATGGTTAAGATGTAATACAGACCTGTTCAGAAGTACTCAGGTTCTGAACAGGATAGTAAACATATTAGCAATAATTAAATGAGTTCACTGTGGATCCAGCAGGTTAAATGTGGGTTTTCAGCATGAATAAAACACTCACTCTATGATTTCTGCTGCGACTTTCTTCAGGTAATCTACGTCAAAGGCTGTCTTGAGAGGCAGCCACCTCACTTCAGCTTTGTCGTCCAGGTTGATTTCCAGCGTGGGAGGGGCGAGCAGAGCCCGGCTCGAGGCAGCGAGCGCGAGCAGCAGCAGCAGGAGTCCGCCGGCGCGTGCCACCATGTCAGCTGTCAGGCAGAAGAAGCCGCGGATCCTCACTGAACTCTTCTCAGCGCTAAAGACCTGCCCGCTAACGCTAAGGCGACACTTCCGCTAAGAGACTTTCAAAATAAAACCATCTTACCCTGTACTTCGTTTCAACTCTTTGTTCCGCGTTTAAATGTTTGTGTTTAGAAGTTCTGAAGAACTTTTAATGAAGGTTGCCAAAAGTCTGCCAAAAGTTTATCATTATATAGGCTAATACAAATATATTTTGTTGTACAGACTATATATCTATATATAGGATGCACGATATTGGATTTTTGGTCGATATCCGATATGCCGTTATGCTAAAACTTATTTGGCCGATAACCAATACCGATATTTTATATACTTTCCTTTGTCAGAACATAGCCCTCTTATTTAGGCGTATTTGCTAGAAAAAATGTGTAACAGCTGTAAGAGCTGGTGACATATATTCTGTAAAAGATAGATTATTTAGATAACCTGAAGAAAGTCGCAGCAGAAATAATTGAGTGAGTGTAAAACGAGCATTCAAGAACATGTCCAAGTTTTATTCATGCTGAAAACCCACATTTAACCTGCTGGATCCACAGTGAACTCATTTAATTATTGCTAATATGTTTACTATCCTGTTCAGAACCTGAGTACTTCTGAACGTGTAATAGCGTCTGTATTACCTCTTAACCATGAGTATACAACTTTACTTTACTGTATTTGTTCAGGGACCAATGCAGACATGTTCCTGTTTTTAGTTTTCTACATTCGCCTTAGAATCTAGCTGTTTTTTGTTACTTTTCTTTTTTTTAGCCATCCTACTTGTAAAAAAAAAAAAATTAAAGAAAAAGTTGTATTACTTTTTATAACTGTTTATTGTTGTTGCTGTTGTCCATTGTTGTCATCATTCTTTGTTGAAATCAGGTCTCTCTTGTAAATGAGTCCTCGAGGCTCAATGGGATTTACCTGTCTAAATAAAGGTTGAATGAAAAAATAGCCGTATGATTTACATAGCACTTTAACTTATGTTAAATGAAAAAGTGTTAAATGTTATTTATGAGCATTAGTCACCTGTGATGCTGTCTCTCTTGTGGAGTCTTGTTCCAGGTTCCTATAGCTGCAGTGTGGGATCCTCTGCACTCCTGTGCATGAAGGACAGACTTTTTAAGATCAAAGTTTTAGTCTATCCATTGTTCCGTAAGACTAATCATGCTAACTGGGCTAACATGACGTTCAAATGTCTGTGAAAACTCACCCAAGTGTTTTCGGCTATTAGCTTCTAAATGGTGTCGGAAATGACGGCTTGTAACTCGGGTAAGGTTACGTCAGAAAAATATCTCAGACTGGGGACAATGTAGCGAGGCTCAATGTAGTCCAAAAATCTTCGGAATCCAACATCCTCAATGAAAAACAAAACTTCCACACCCCCGACAGTTTGAATTTTCCTCTCCGCCATGAAATCAGGTAAGCATGCGTGATGTCACCACGTTGTTCTGCCGCTGCAGGCATCTTTGTCACTGGGTTGTCACACAAAAACTGCGTCTTTTATATCGACTTATTTTGATGGAATGGCCGATGTCCAATATTGAACTTTAACGCTAATATTGGCCGATACCGATACCATGCCGATAATATTGTGCATCGCTAATATATATATATATATATATATATATATATATATATATTCTATATAAAATTTAATTCCCATATAATTCTGTCTAAATCTATCAGCAAACAGACAGAATTTTTAGCATTAAATGTGAAGATTGCTAAGGGCTTCTGAATAGCTGTGGTGGACTACTACAGGCCAGTGGTGCTGGAAACAGTTACAATGCCGACAAGCTATGACTGACATTGCTCTCTCTCTCTCTCTCTCTCTCTCTCTCTCTCTCTCTGTGTCTACATATAGACAGAGGCAAAACCTACAGCATTCAGATCTGGGCCAAATCCGTTTAAAAGTTGTCAGATCCACATAACCGTCACCAGACAGTTTACACATGCGCCAGCTCTGGGTCGAGCTGAGATCATGAGCTTGCCTGATACCTGTAAAAAAGGTTTTGGCTCTGATCCAGTTCAGGTCTGGACCAAATCAGCCTAAAATGAAATCAGAATTATATTTTTGTGCCACATCTGACCCAAATGCAGTATTTATAGCACCTGTGGGCCACCTCTGACTCTGACCTGTTCTATGCCAGACTGCACTTTACAGCAGTCATGCCAGTTACGGGCCATTGGAAAATAAGAGACGCCGGGCCCAAGTCCGTTTACGGGTCCGGGCCAGATGCTCAACTATATTTGGCCCAGAGCAGATAAATTTTGCTGTCAGGGCACAAATAACTGCGCGGAGAGTTTGTCATTTTCGCTTGTCCAAAAGCCAGCTGGAGTTTGACACGTCTGCGCTGTGATGCACGTCGCTTAGGAGAAAATGTAGCCTGAGGAGGAGAAGAGAACTTACCTCCTCATCTATGAAATAACAGATGAAAAAAAATCATTCAGGACTTGTGGCAGCAGGTCTGTTGTGATTTCTGAACATTTATCAGAGTCAAATTAATCAGATCCAAGACGTGGTTATTAATTAAGGGAATTACGTCTTTAAAAAGCCTGGTTGAGATGAGGTCTACATGTAGCAGACATGTGGATGGTTTAGATGAAGCTGTTATTTTTTGACAATTCAGAGAGCTCAACATGACAAAAACAATCCAAACATAAATCAAGTTCTAGTGATATTTTTAAAGTTGCTTCATCTGACAGGCAACCAGAGGTAATAGTAGGAAGGATGGTTTGAATATTTTCCCTAATTGAAATAATTTAATTTATAAAGAATCTATCTGTATGTAGGCCTATATTTTATATGTGTGTGTGTGTGTATGTCAAGATCACCCCTGTCATTTAAGAAATATACTTTCTAATTTTTATATTGCTGAAAACTATAGTTTCCTCAAATGACTGGGGTAGCCCTTGGGTGGCCAACGATTACCGTAATCTATGTTTTCCAAGGCCACCGTTTGCCACCCCCGACTCTACTGTTGTTCCTGGTAACATTGCTCCCTCTACTCACAAGGATCCATCACTAAGTGGCTTCAAACATCTGCTAAGTTCCTGGCAAAAACCAATGCAGACATGTTCCTGTTTTTAGTTTCTACATCACCTTACAACCTAGCTGTTTTTGTTTATTTTTTAAATACCATTTTCTTTCATTTGTTCTTCTCAATTTGTATGCTTTCTTTTATGATTGTGTACTGTTGTCGTTGTTGTCCACTGTTGTCATCATCCATCCATCCATTTTCTTTACCCGCTTATTCCATTTCGGGTCACGGGGGTCGCTGGTGCCCATGTCCAGCAATCACTGTGCGAGGGGCGGGGTACACCCTGGACGGGTCGCAAGTCCATCACATGGACACATAAAGACAAACGAGACAAACAACCATTCACCCTCTCACTCACACCTAGGGACAATTTAGAGTTATCAATCAGCCTAACATGCATGTTTTTGGACTGTGGGAGGAAACCGGAGTACCCGGAGAAAACCCACGCATGCATGGAGAGAACATGCAAACTCCACCCAGAAAGGCCCCTGGACCAGGGTTTGAACCAAGGACCTGCTCGCTGAGAGGCAGCAGCTCTACCAGTTACGCCACCGTGCTGCCCTGTTGTCATCACTGTTTGTTAAAATCAGGTCTCTCTTGTAAATGAGTCCCCGAGGCTCCATGGGATTAACCTGTCTAAATAAAGTTTGAATGAATGAACTCTGCGCAACTTCGGACAAGCAAAAGTAAATACATTAATTTACAAAATCAACCTCTATTCTATATTGTAACTCTTACCTACTTGAATATCTTGCACCAAAAACATTAAGGTTTACTTGCATTCCCTGTTCAATTCCAGTCCAGAAAAACATTAATCTCCAAAACTACAGAACGTTCACTATTCAAATCCCTGAGTGACATGGAACATCTCTCTTTTAAACCTCATGTCGAAAACCTAGTAAGGAAACTAAAAGTTAAATTGGGTTTCTTTTTCAGAAATAGATCTGTCTAACTCTGAATGCTAGGAAATACCTCATAACTGTGACTTTCCTTCCATTGACTGCGGTGACATTATTTACATAAATGCTCCTCCAAGCACCCTGCAGATGTTGGATGCTGTCTATCATGGTGCGCTAAGATTCATAACTGGCTGTAACTATCATACTCACCACTGCACCCTGTATTCACTGGTTAACTGGACATCATTAACTTCACGCAGACTCTGTCACTGGTACATTTTCATCTTTAAATCACTTCTTGGTCTGTTGCCTTCATACATCTCCTCCTACATGTCTCTGTGTGAGTGCAGCTACAGCGTGCGCTCTCAGGACATTATTACCTGCAGTGTTCCCTCAGTGAGGACTGAACTTGGCAAAAGGGCCTTCTTCTACTCCGCTCCTGTTTCCTGGAATATCTTACAAAAAGACCTGAAGCTCTTGACCTTGACCTCTCTAAGTGGCTTTAAACATCTGGTAAGTTCTCCAGGACATCCTTGTAAAAGAGATTGATGATTTCAATGGATTTCTTCATGGTAAAATAAAGGGATAAAAAAAAAAGTTCCTGGCAAGAACCAATACAGACATGTTCCTGTTTTTAGTTTTCTACACCACCTTATAATTTAGCTGGGTTTTTTTTTTGTTGCTATTTTTCCTTTTGACTGTCCTTTTGGTTGCTATTTTGTTTTGATTTGTTAAAAAAATAAAATAAAATTTGTATGCCTCTTTTGTCTATTGTTGTCGTTATCCACTGTTATCACTCTTTGTTAAAGAAATCAGGTCTCTCTTGTAAATGAGTCTCTGAGGCTCAATGGGATTAACTGTATAAATAAAGGTTGAATGCATGAATGAATGAATGAATTTCAACCTTTGCACTGTGTACCTTCAAATGATCTCAGCCGTTCCTGTAAAAATGATTGGTGCAGCCCTTTAGTTCACACAAACTGAAACACTCAGAATTAATAAGAAATCATTTTTAAAAGAGGGGGATCTTTTGGTGTGAGCAGCAGCAGGTCAGTAGAGGGCGAACTCTGATCTTTAGCTCTCTTTTGGCATGAAGCTGAACACTGTCATGGAGTGAAGCTCTACTTCCACAAGATGGTACCAGAGCTGTACATTTTGGTTACAGTAGGTCTGGAAAGTGTGTTTGAAGGCAGAATATCTACTGATGTACAGTTCAAATGAAAAAACCCTGTTGTGATTAGAAGAGCTGAAACAAACTTCCACGCATCTCAGGGGGAGACATGGTTGGTGGTGAACTGCAGCCATGACGCAGACCTTTTTATTTTCACTATTACTTTAACGACAGTCATTACCGCCCTGCAAGACGTGTATTCTGTATTCAGAACTAACGTCAGCTTTTTGTGTGCTAACATCAAAGTTTCTGACATTATAAAAGTTCTCAGAAAGCACATTAAATCTATTTTATAGCTTCTTTTCTTTGCACGTTTTCATCCTGAAATGAGTTATTCCTGCACGGCTTCATGTTACGACGGTAAAGAAATTAAATTGATTTATGTCTCTTGCAAATTTCCTCAAACCCCCTCTGGAGTCTGGTTACAGCCTGTAATCCAAGACATGCTATTGATTTACAGAGGCTGTGCAGCTTTCCGGGTTATGTAAGCGTTATGTAAGTGTGTGTTGAAGAGCTGTCAGGATGGCTGGCGGCCAAACACCAAATCCACAGGGACCAAAAATCTTTATTAATACTTTAATATATATCAATACTTTATATACAAAACATATACAACTTTTTGCATTACATGTGGAAATAAAAATCCAGTTTCAACTTTACATTCTTTGCTAAAGACAAGATTTAAAGCAGGTTTGTTTGAAACTCCAGTCGTCGTCGCGTTAAATAAAAGAAGCGTTTCAGATGAAGGCCTCACCTTGAGCTGTGGGCAGAACGCAAACATACACACCAAACTGCTGCCTCGTCCTCGGACAGATACACTCAGTGGGTCACGTATCAAAAATAAACATGTACAAGCGAAATATTAATTACATTATATCACAGGATCAGAAAAATAAAAGTCAGCCACAGATTAAACTGATGCATCCGTTAAGAGTGGCAAGTCCCTGAATTCTCAAAACTTTTATGAATTCCTGCGTCCGACAACCCGAAGGTGGAAGGAGACGTGTTCTTAGGAACGTCTCGGTGTGAAGCAGATATGTTGATTTTGGGAACTTTCACGGCGAAGAACCGGTTTGGTAGAAGAGAGAGGCAAACACTGAAGGTAGGTCGTTCAGATCTGCAGGGGGGGGGGCTTCTGGATGGAAATCAAAATGTTTACATTCATCGCAGCAGATCGTACGTTTTGGGACTTGGTGGGCTTACATTCTCTTTTACATTCAATAAAACGTCTGGAGAAAACATGGAAACCTTCAAACTGGTGCGTTCTTTACTTTCAGCAGACCATCTTCAGTGTTTGAGAGGCATGCAAAAATAAAAAGAACCTTCAAGGGTTCTGCTGTGGGGTCGGTGTGCTGGGGGGGGGGGGGGGGGGGGGGGGGGGGGGGGGGGTAGCAGTCTGCTCCTTTACCCTCGATCAACATTCAAAGAGTCTGGTTCTGACAAACAGGTCTGCTCAGTTTTTGGTTTCCAAGTTCAAAGGGGAGACCTGTCTTAAAGCTTTATGGAGAGCGGGGGGGTCCACCGGGTTGTGGTGAGGTACTGGGGATCCTGCCCTCGGTGACATCACCAAAGATGGGGTCAGCGTCTCCGGGGATAGGCTCACTGCAGAGCCACCCATGCCCGGGTACATGACGGGCATGCCCCCAGGGTACCAGCATTTGTCCAGCATCGGTAGGTACGCCGCTGTCGCGGGGGGGACGAGGTAGAAGGGGAGACAGAATGGGGATTGATTGGGGGGGAAGCTCATGTAGCTGCCAGGAGCTCCCACCGCGGAGAGGACCTCGTCCTCCGAGGAGTCTGCTCTTAACCTCTTGGCCCGAGGCTCGTCCCCCTCCTGCTTGATGACGCCCGCAGTCCTCTCAGGCGCAGGGGTTTTCAGATCCCCCTCCCTCCCATGACTCTCGGACCACTGGGCTTTGGGCTTGTCGTGCTCTCCACCATAGCCACTATCAGTGTCTGTGTCACTGCCGCTCTGCTCCCCCCCCACATGCTGGTAAGTCCTCTGAATGACTGGAACGCAGTTCTTGGCGGGGGCCTCAGAGGACGCGGCAGGCTGCTCCACGGCCTTGTTCACCCGCTCACACTCGTCCGGCTGCGGGCTGCTTGGACGCTGCAGCACCTCAGCTGCCACCTTCTGGATGTGGCCGACGACGTGGGACGGGGTCAGCTCCCTGCTCGTCTCCTGGTTGGCCAGATAGTGGAGGACCTCTTTGGCGCACAGGTGAAACCCGGAGCGGAACATCTCCTCACTGCTGTCTGCTCCGTCACCTCCGTGATCACCTGAGCGAGCAGAACCAGAGAAGGACACGATGAACAACGAGAAGAACGACGGTGTCAAACCACAAGACGTCGACCAAACTTACCGAACTGCAGATCCTTCTGCAGAGCCACAATCTTCTGCTGCTGCTGCTCCAGGAGGGCGTTCAAGGTTCTCACGTGCTTCAGGGTGAGCTCCAGCACCACCGCTTTCTCCAAATGACCTAGCGTCTAAAACAGGAAGACCTTCGATAAGCATGTTGATCTTTCTTATGTAACGCACTGCGGCTGAACAGACAGCCGCCAACACCCATTTGCTGTGAACCAGCACATAAACACTCAAACCACTTCCAGCCGGTGTCCGCACACTTTGCTTCTTCAGACCAAACTAGAGAAAGTTGAGTGGAGCTCGAGTAAAACTCACCGTGAGCTTCAGGTGTTCTGGCAGCAGGTCCTTGAGCTGAGAGATACATTCATTTATCCGGTCTCGTCTCTTCTTCTCGATGAGTCTGTGTGGCAGCTTGTAGGTCTCCTGTCAGAGGGGAGTCAGGAGTCAGCACCTCCTCACAGGAGCAGGAGTGCTCTTCAACAAGTGGACCTTACCTTGCACTCGTCCCCGCGCTTCACTCCCCTCCTGGGTTTGCACAGGTAAATGGGAAACTCCATTCTTTGGAGAAGAAATACAAATATGTTTAATCAATCAACCTTTATTTATATAGGTAAATCCCATTGTTAATGTCATTAATGTTTATATTTGCAATAATAATAACAAAAAACGGTCAAGTATATATCATAAACTGCTCTGTTTACCGGTGCATGTCAGCTACATCCAGTGCTGGGTGTTTGGGTGCATAAGGAGGCGGCTGCGCGCTTGTTATCCTCTCCATTTTGCGTCAAAGCAAAAAGAAACTGAAAAAAAGTGTCGGCACCTTAAAATAAAACAAATAATAATAAAATAAAAAAATCAATTCGTCTCCTCGAGCGTCCCTGCTGTGAAGAGTTGTCCCCCACCCTGAGGTCGGCGCTCGCTCTGCCGAGGGAAGCTGCTCTGAGGTCGGCTCTGTCCGTGTGTGAGAGCTGGGTGGGTTCGTGACGACGTGTTAAATAAACCCTGTGACTGCAGGCACGTCTCTCCCTGCGCGAGGAAACTGACTCCATCCGTCACATGAGCCTCACGTGTCGGACAGTGCTTTCAACTCCTCGCCCCGCCCCCCTGTTCCTGCTGCCGCCTGCCGGAGCCCCGCCCACTCGTGTAGTACTCCTCCGGCGGGGGCGGGGCCAAGTCCCGTGGAGCTCCACGCTCCTCTCCTCACGAGCCCTGTTTGTTTGTAGAGCCGACTGTTTACACAGACAGGAAGTGGAGCAACAGTTTCCCGCCGACACCAGGACGCATGAAGTGCAAACATTTCAACAGGAACAATAAACACAAGAATATTAATTAGACTAGAGAAAAAACTGAATTATAATATAACGATGCTTATTTTAAAAAATGACGTGTTGCAGCTTGTGGTGTATGAAAATAAAACTTGAAGTTGTTTATTGAACCAGCTCAACTCCAACTGTGAGTCCAACAAGTCAAATGATATTTTCTGTGAACTGAACACAGCTGAATGGCTGCTGAAACTTAAGAACTGAAGCTGTTTAAGCTAAAAACATGCACAACACTAGCTAAAAGCTACAAGCAAAATCCTAGCTAAACATTACAAGCAGCAAAAACATTAAATAGCAGCAGAAAAATACTAGCTAAAGGCTATAAACAACAAAAGGCTATAGGCAAAAAAGTAGCTAAAAGCGAGCAAAAGGCTAAAGAATCTCTAAAAACTAAAACAAAAGCTAAAAGTTGTTAAATCTATCTAAAAGAGGTTTGATAGGAACCATCAAAACCCAAATAAAAATAGAGCAAATACGCTGAAGCAGATTTCAGTGTTTTGACATAAATTTCATGTTTTTGTTTTTTTGTTGTTATTTTTGTGGGTGAGAAAATGTGTAAAAATGATATTTTTAAATGTCAGCCACCTGCTGATTGAGCTGAACGTTTTCTGCAGCAGAGCAGTGTGATGAATCAGCACAAACAGTGTGATACCTGCAGTTAACGCCTAACTGCATTAATGGCTCTGTTTGCTTGAATCGGTGGCTCGTGCCGAGTGTCACGCGCGCAGCCGTGTTTTGAAGCCGTCTGGTGGTGCTGCACGTGCACCGGGGCTGCACCCGAGCGGGTTATCTCGGTGCTGTTACTCCCTGCTGTCCTGCTGGGCAGTCACGTTGAGCTCCTCATGGACTGAGCGGTGGATCCCTGCCGCTGACGTCACGAACCAACCGGGACCGAGCCAGCCCGACCGGACCGGACAGAGGACAGTTATTTATAGACTGAGCAGCAGCGGGGAGGGCTCAGGACTCAACAAGTACCGAGAGGGGAAACATGTTGTCCGACTGAGACGCTTTTCTTTAAATTACCTTTAAATGCACGAACGGAACGGGCCCGTGTTAAACTGGCGGCCCGCGGGCCACTGCCGGTCCTGAGGAGGAGCACTTATGGCCGTTCATGTTCATCTGTATTTAAAACTGGGAGTGTATTTTTCCCCCCATAAACCATGAAAAACAACTATAAAAATAAACAAATAAATTGTGTGTGTGTG